TGCGGGGGACCGTCTCCAGCAGACCAGGGACACCGGGAGCAAAGCCTCTGAGGATGCCGGCAGCGGGACAGCCGCGGCGCGTCTGGGCTGTCCCGCTGCTCGAGTGCTCCGCGGCTTTGCTCTGCGTCTCCCTGGTCTGCTGGATCCGCGTAAGTCGGGGACTGCCTGTATAATCTGGCCCACTTCATTAAATGAGTGACACCTTTCTTTGGACTTGCACTGGATTTCACTGAGTGACGGTCTACACTAAAAACTTATGTCAGTATAACTGCATCACTAAGGAATGGGCAAAATTCCCCCCTCGTGAGCAGCACAGTTATACGGATCAGCATACGTAACGTCTTTGCATAGTAGCTGCATTGTATGTATACACAAGTTGTCATAGGCAGGGACTGGAATAACAGTGTGTTAAGCTGGTCTGGATTGAGGTGCATTGGCAAAGCTCTGTGGGGACTGAGGAATGTAGTAATGAGGGGTACGCAGAGCTCTGTAAGTTCAGCAGTGGGGGATGTGTTCTACATATAGGGATACATAAGTAACGGATGGACTGAGGAAAGTAATAACACTAGGTACTGCGGTAATCACTGTTGGTGGAGAAGTGTCTTGTACTTTTTGCTCCAAACCATTTCCACTCCTTTATCTGTATCCCACAGAGGCCAATGTAGCAAAGAGATCCTCTTCTGAGGCAGCACAGCAGGAAAAGACTTGAGCAAGATGACAATCAGGTTTCATTTATTTAATAGTATAAAACAGCTACAAGAGAGCCCCAGGTCTGCAGGGTGGCGAGGATGAACTGAGCTGCTCTAGAGATTTATTCAGATAGTTTTAAATAATACATTTAAATCTCATCAGGCATCGTGAATAAATTAGTTGCTGCCTGTCATGATTATTGCTGAGCCTCCCAGCAAGGGGAAACCAGCTAGTTCACTCTCAAATACCTGGTTAGTACAGGACTTGAAAGCTCTGTCAGACACCTACTACCTAATGGGGCAATGTTTGAGGAAACAATTGGAGAGTGGGGGGAAGAGGGGCAGCATTGCTGCTGATATCCTGGGGAAGTGACCCAGTAGGAAAGGGGTTTCTGTCATGGTAGTACCCCTGCTTGTGAGGACTCCATTTTCATAATAGTCTCTGCTAGTAAATAGCTCGTGACTGTGGAAGCACCTTTCCTCTCCTTGTTGGACAGGAGAAGTTCTCTGTTCCTCACATCCTCCACCTTGTTGCTCATCCCTCCTCCCCCTTCTCATGATTTGACTCCTCTCCCATGAATGACTCCACTGTCTGACTCATTGCGGTATCTGCTGTGGATCTGGTCAAGAGTCCTGTTTATTGCTTGCTGGTGGTACTTATCAAAAGTCTGAGCAGCAGCAGAGTTCCTGGTGCTGCCGATCTGTGGACTGCAGAAGCTAACTCTGTGACATGCTACCTTTTGTTCATTTTTGGTACTTGGCTTTTGCAGACAGTCTAGAAACCTCTCCCTTTTTAAAACAGGATCATGTCAGCCTGAAATAGGCTGTTTCTAAAACAATAATGCAGAAGTAGATGTAAGTAGTGGTATGGTAACCCTGCATTGCCCTACATGGTTTTGTGCTTTCGATCCCCCTTCAACTCCAGTGTTCTTCCCCCATTTCCCCTCCAACCCATTCTTTTGGCATAAAGGGAAAGAAGGGTTAGGGAGGTGTAGGAGATATTCTGTTGTTAAGTAACCAGAAGATATGGATTCTGTGCAAACAAATGTTTCTCTCAGAATACTCTGTGCCTGTTTTGTTAATTATCTTACACAATAATCCAGGAAGAGGAAGTTGCCCTTTCATGGCTAATCTTTGTGGTAGAAATAGACAGTGGACAAATGACTCCTGTGTCTTAATGTGATACGTGACATTTATTTCCTCTCAATTTGCTAAATCAGCTTGACGTGTATAATAATTTTATTGCCAGTTCCCTGATGTCTGTCTGTCCAAGGAGGACAGAGGTATTTGGCCATTGTGTGGCTGCTGTGCTGCCCTCAGAAGAACCAGCTTCTTCTAAAAAAATGCAGACATCTCTATCACTATTCCTTTTGCTGAGGTAGTTAAAATTTGGACAGACATAAACCAGGGAGAGAAGAATTACCTCCTGTTTTTTAAAGAGGGAAAATTAAAATATCTTAAACATGTCTACTTGGCCAAACAGTGACTTATAGGAGGAAAGGCCCTAGCAATGAAGTAAAGTATTTTGAAGGATGGGAATGCTGGGAGGGTGTATGATAAGGAGTGAAGACATGGAATTAAGAGGACAACATAGGCTGCCAATGATCAGTAAGCAGGATCTATTAAGTTATGCAATAGTAAACACAAGCAAAGTGATAGTCCTGTATGGTAGCTTGGGGCATTTAGCGGAAGACTAAACAGAGCACCAGAAAATATGCTGCAGGTAACTATCTGCATGGGCCTAAGGCTTTGGGGAGGATTAGATATGACCTAATAGGTCCTTCCATCTCTAATGCCTGTGAGTTACTGGAATTGTAAATAGAAACCTTTGTCCCAGTGCTCCTTTAAAGAATCCAGCCTTTAGTTGCTGCCTTGACTCAAAGACTTCTTAATTCCATTAACATTAAAGATTTGTTTTCTGATCTCCCTGCCCTCTTTTCTTTTATTGCAGTCATTCCAGACTCCTTGCGCGTGGCCTCCGTCCCACAGACCCTAAACAAAGTGGAGCGTGACTCTCTGGAGTTGAAATGTGAGGTTTCTAAGAGTACAGCCCAGCACAGTCACCTCTCCATCTCCTGGTACCGCCAGAAAGCAGGCGAGCCTCCCGTGGAGATCATCTCCCTCAGCCGTGACTTTGTCCTGCGAGCGGGCAACACCTATGCGCAGAGGCAGGCTACTGGTGATGTTCGTCTAGACAAGGTGGGAGAGACCACCTCCAAACTCACCATCTACAACCTCCAGCCATCTGACCAGGGCGAGTTCTACTGCGAGGCAGCGGAGTGGATCCAGGACCCGGACAAGTCCTGGTATGCCATGACCCGCAAGCGCTCCGAGGGCACCATCATCAGCATCCAAGCCACTGGTCAGTATCTACAGGATTTTCTTTCTCCATGGACAGGTGGCAGGAGAAGCAGTGGGTGCTGCAATAAAGGAGAGAGTGGGGGAAGTGTGAGAGCTGCAGTTCCAAGAGATTTCTCAGTATTGAGCAGGCCAATGACTAGCTTAGTGACTGCCCAGCCTCACTGCGTGTGTGTGCACTGGCATCAGGCAAGTTGGGTTTGGCTGTAGGCCTTAGGAAAGTCATGAAAGCCCTCTTACCAGATCATTCTTAGCTCTAGATAGGAGAAAGCCATGAATGTTATGGGCCTTGGCTACCTCAGAATCCAGCTCTCTCCCTGTGCTTTGTTGCTGTGTTTATGATCCACATAGGTGATCCAGTTAACAGTTTCTTGGATGGAATGAGTGGCGGGACACTTTCAAGGGTTGCCAGAATTGCTTTGTTGCTGGTGGGAGGGTCAGACATCACTAGATGTGATAGAAGGCGTCTTATAGTACTATACGTTTCCTATTGCACATGCCTAATCTCTTTGACCTGTGTCCTTGGAGTCCCTAGACCTCTTCCTTCCCTGGAATGCATTCCTCTCTCTAATGAGGCTTGGGATCTGCACTGGTATTTCCTTCTGCAGGATTTCTCAACTGTAGAGCAGCTGCTTTAGACTCCAGCTGTGCAACATCCTATTTGGAGATACCTAATATGTATGTGCCAAGCCATGGAGACTGGACATTTGTACCTTCCACTACATAGTATCCACGTGGTCCTCTAAAACATGTGTAGCTGCACAATGCCCAGTCTGCATGTACTAGCTTTAGAACCAAAGTGTGCATCCCGGAAGAGGCTATTGGCATGGACTAGGGTAGGGAGGTAGTAGTGTAGAGGTTTCCATGAGTACAGTACAGGCCCTGAAAAGTAACAATATTCACCAGAGGGAATTCTTAGCTCTGGAGAATTATAGGTGAGTAACTGCTCTTCCCCTGCCCCTAAAATGGCTGATTATCATCTGACTGAGCCTGAGATTTAATGTTTATCTTGAACTGCTGTCCCCAGGACTTACACCTGTTGGTTGTAGCTGAAGAAAGAACAGCAATTCCAAATCAGAGAAAATAAAACTACAGAATTCAACAGCGATTATTATATTGCATTTGACCCATTTGCATGTCAAAAATTTCTCTCTCTGCTAGCACCACAGGCTCTGGTTATGATTTGAAAACCCAGCTGGGCTTGTTCTACCTCTTTGCTATCAACACCAGTAATAGAGATCCTGCAGCTGGAACTTAACTGCCACGGTGGTTAATGAAGCTTGAGGCAGAATAGACTCCAACTTGCTATTTCATGACACTTCTGGTCCTCCGATAAAAAATGACTAGATAACGAAGCAGTCTGACCGTGAGCTAAGTGATGAGTGGCTCGTTGCTTAATAGGTGAATCCAGTGCACAAATCTATCCTCTGGGCAAGAATAAAGAGGCAGCATTGCTTAGGGGATGAAACGTGGCAGGATGCCAGTGCAGCTTCTGTCTGCGGGGAGCTCGGGCCCCCGCAGACAGGGGCTGCTGCTGCCCCACAACCTCTCTCTCAGAAGCAGCAGTGCGGGGCAACAGGCAGCCGATAGGTCAGGGGAGCTGATTTTTAAACTGCCCCTCCTCGCAGACCAGCTCCACCTGCCACCCTGTGCTGCTACCTCTGATACCAGAAACAGCAGTGTGGGGAGGAAGGGGGCTCCCCGGGAGTGGGGCCCAGGATGTACTGGCTGCTGGCCAGTATTTTAGTAACCATGTAACCACTAAAAATTGTTGCAGCTTACACTATTACTAAAATACACAGTATCTAGCATCCCCATTGGAATCATTCTTCTCTAGCTCTGTGGATAAAAAAAGGCTATGAAGAAATGAGCTATTTCTTTTCCTGATTTGACTGTGATTGCAGCTTTTGCATACCTAGCAGTTGGCTGCTGCTCCTCCTGCGCGTGAGATGAACTCTGTTCTCCCAGGCAGCAATTACATGCACCTCTACTTAAGTACTGTGATGACTGTATGTTAATGACAGAGGTAACTCGGAGGGATGCAGGAGCATGAATATGGGGTGTGTGAATGAGAAGTGATTTAAAATGAAGCATGGAAGTGTCCTGTACCTGGTCTGGCTCTTGGGTGAAGTCCCGCCACGTGTGCAGTGCTGCAGTGACACTGCTGTGTGTTGGTCTGTCTCCCTTCAGATAAGGAGTTCAGTGTGCGGTTGGAGACAGAGAAGCGAACATACACGGTGGGTGAGCCGGTGGAGTTCAGGTGTATCTTGGAGGCGCAGAACGTCCCAGAACGCTACTTCTCTATCTCGTGGGCCTTCAACAGCTCCCTGATCGCCAGCCTGGGGCCCAACGCTGTGCCTGTCCTCAATAGTGACTTTGCCCAGCGCGAGGCCCTGGGGCAGCTTAAGGTGGCCAAGGAAAGCGACAATGTCTTTGTTCTAAAGATCTACCGCCTCCGTCTGGAGGACAGTGGCAAATACAACTGCCGGGTGACTGAGCGGGAGAAAACAGTGACGGGGGACTTCATGGACAAGGAGAGCAAGCGGCCGAAGAACATACCCATCACGGTCTTGCCCCTCAGTAAGTAGAGATTGGCATGCTCCTGCATGGTGCTGGGTATGTGTGCGCCCTCCAGTGCAAATCGGGATACCTGAGAAGCTTAGCTGTGTTCACCCAGGGCGGAGGGAAAAACCGGAGAAGTGCACAATGAACATTGGTCTGGTGAAGGCTTCAAAACCCAGCCAGAAAGATATTGAAATGGGGAGGGAGGGAAGGTATCCACTACCCAGGTTCTTAGGCTGGAAAATTGGCCCTTGCCCTTGGTGTGGTTATCCCAGGTTGTAGTTTGTTCCTTGACAGCAGAGAAGTTTTAGATCTTTGCTAGAACAGGGAACGGGATTCCTGTCTTCATTCTCCCTCCTTTCCCCACCTCCTAGCAGGAACCGTAGCACTTAAAGGTGTTAATCCATCTAAAAAGGCTGAATTGGGAGCGCTGCTGGTCCTAAACCAGCTCCCAGTTCATCCTGGAAGCAGCCCAGCCACTGGAAATTAGGGATATTAAAACCATAACCAGTTAACTGTTTTAACCTAGGTCCTGCCACCCAACATACGGATCCATCCATATTCAGGTTCTGCTGGCTAGTCCACCAGCCTCACCACAGCTGGGTCTGCTCCAGCCTGGTGCAGCTGACCACTGCCAGAGTTAGCTGTGAAGGAACAGTTAATCAGTAAGCTTACAGGTAAGCCTCATGCTTGCTGTGTGCTCACTGGTTAACATCCCTACTGGAAACATTTCAGTACCTGCTGCCCACATGTCCCTGCTTTGGTGATCTTGCAAGAGATCCCGTCGGCTCCTCAGATCGGAGGAGATGTGCCCTGGGCCCAAAGGCAAAAACAATTGCATCTTTCCCAAGCCCGCATTCACTTTTCAGCACAAAGATCCAATCCTGTCATGGGATGCCTGACGCAGCCAGCCTAGTGTAACTATTCCGGTCTGACCCTGTCTGAATGCCTTTTGTGTGTCGGGGGGACGACAACACAGAAAAGACAGGGCAAGAAGATCCAGCCTTTAGATTCATTCATTCTCTTTGTCTTGCTCTTTCTCTCAAATTCAGTTAACTTTGATGTGACCAGCTACATAAGAGTTATCAGAACTACTCCAACAACAGTTATTGATCAAACAAAGGAGTGGCTGAGAGAGGATTTTGTGTAATTGTTACCTTTCATTTATTAACCTTATAGTGAGCTACAGCTTGTTCTGAAGCTACTTGTCCTGAAATAAGGGACAATTATAGTCCTTTACTCTCTTAGCATGGACTAATTTATTTGTTTAGGATTGAAAATTGCACTAGCCAGAAGTCCTGGATTGGACTGATGCCTAAAAAGTAACACTTCTAGACTAGAAATATCACAGATTTCATGTGAGATAGCATAACCACCAGTTCTGGAAACAAACTAACACAACTCAATTTTTTCCCCCGAAAGGTGCGAAGCATCTATAACTCCCCCCCGAAAAGCAGTGGGAGTTACCAGCTTTCAGCACCTCTGAAAATCAGGCCATAAGTCTTTATATCTCTGGAAACTTAAGGATCCCACTTTTCTGGTGGCCTAAAATATTAATAGCTAGCTCTGGTAGTCTGTGAGAGAATGGCTGCTAAAACTGGGTAGGAATTGGAAATGGCAAGATGGTAATCAGAATTCTGTGATGGTAAGGCTTTTGGGAGAGCCAAGACTTACAGTACCTGTCGTAAAATTCATGCTTTCAGTATATTCATTTTCTAAGCTCGTCTCCTAGACCTGTAATCAGAAAACATTTTAAGTCTTCGCAGGCAGTCATAGGACAGATTATCAGAGTTTGGCAGTCATCTAGCTTAGGCTCACAAGTACCCCAGTAGCAAGTCACTGGCCCTGTGCATACTTTGGATATTTGCACACTCAAGTTAGCCTGCACAGATCCAAAGTGTGTGCAGTTTCATGCACCTGAGTTTGAAAGGAGAGCTTCCCAAAGACTCTACCTTCCTTGCATTCTGGATCATCTCCTCCCTGTGCTCACATTTCTCTTCTGTCTCTTTAGAGACCAGCATCTCGGTGGAGATGACTAACAATGCCAGCAATATCCTAGAGGGGGAGAGCCTGCGCTTTGGCTGCAGTGTGCGCTCGGGATTTGGGCCCCGAAGCCATCTCTCCGTCAACTGGCAACTTGTGGACAAGCAGAACAGGCGCAGTGATGTTGTGCGGCTGGATCGGGATGGCACGCTGCAGCCGGGTCCCTCCTACTCAGAACGTAGCAGCTATGGGGGCATCCAGATGGAGCAGGTGCGGCCTGGCTCCTTCACCCTGGAGATCTTCAACAGTGTCAAGGCAGATGAGGGTCACTATGAGTGCCGTGTGACTGAGTGGACACGGACGCAAGATGGGGAGTGGCAGATGATTGGGGAGCGTCACGCTAGCACACCCGTGTCCATCACTGCTCTGGGTGAGTACCAGAGGCACTGTGGAGTCTGTGCAATGCTTTCCAGCACTTCACCCTCATAGGGTTTTGATTAGGAGGCTGCCGCAGACATTACTGGCTTGCTCTGTGTGGGGAGGGGAGGGGGGGAGGGGGTCTGCTTCTGGTGCCAGGAACTTGTCAGAGTGGGAGTCAGTGTGGCTGTAGGTATCCTTGGCGGAGGAGAGCAGCATGTCACCTTACTGGGGAACACTGGCATGGGGCATTAGAAAGGCAGAGAGGGAAGGTGGATGGCATTTGACACCTCTGTGGCAATCCCGTGAAAGTTACTCCTTGCAGCTTCTCTGTGAACTGGGTAAATATAAATCTCCAATCTCCAGGTGAGGAAGGTGAAGCTCAGAGGGGCTGTGAGCCTGACTCTGAAATTCTGAGCAGCTGCAACTCCATCGGATGTTGGCAGGAGCTGCCCTCTGCACATCTGAAAATCAGGCCCTCCGCGACTGGCCCGAAGCCACACAGTGAGCCCACTGGTCAAGCGGGATTAGAACTCACCAGTCCTGATTGCTGGTGCCCTGTTCTTACAGCTAATCCTTCTGAGTGCTGAATACAGGAAAAACACATGGTTTAAAGGAGAGCATTTGGGGAACTGCATGGATTTAGACTCTCACTCATCTGGTCTAGATCTTGCTATTTTTTAAGAGTTGGACCAGTGCCAAAACTACCCTACGGGTCTGAAGAACTACTGGTTGTTCTTGAAAGCCTGATAACTTGGAAAATGCCAGGGCTACAAACAATTGCTGTATGTTGTGATTGGAAAGTTGGGTGAATTCACAGCTTTCCTGTGCTATGCAAAACCTTTGAAATCATATCACATTCTGATTAACATCTTGTTTTTCCCTCCTCCCCTTCTTAAGAATTATTCTTTCTAGAGCTAGAAATCATTGCTTTGGAATGATTTCACGCTGGCAAGAATCCTGGGTTATAAAGAATTAAGGCCAGTTTCTCAGCCTGGTGTCAATCAGCATCCCTGAGGAGCAACTGAAGATGTTAATTTGTACTTGGTGTAGTCTGGTGAAGCTGGTAGCTACATTGCATGCCAGAATTGAAAAGTAGGGGTAGGGGCGTGGAAGGGAAAGCAAGCAAGCTGGTAATTGGGGTGATCTGATTCTAAACTGTGAGTGTCATGTTCATTAATTCATTCTACTTATTGAAAGTCGGCTGCGTAAAACTTCCCAGTAGTTCCAGAAAATGTAATTAAAAGCTAATAAATTTATCTTCCACTGCAGTTCCCTCTTCCAGAGAAATCTCAGATTGACAGGTCATAACTAGTTCTGTTTATATAACCAAGAGGTGCTATAGGTTGTACCTCCCTTAACTGGGAGTCTCTGGTCTGGCAGCATCCTGCCAGTCCATGGATGTTCCTGAACCACAGAGCCCAGTTATAGTGATATCAGGCTGTGGGGCAGGAGCAGCAGCGGGGGCCAGCAACTCAGCTGGGAGCCCCATGGGAGAAAGGGCGGAGGAGCAGCAGGGAATTCTGGCCCCTGCAGCTGCACAGTAGCAAGGGGCTGTGACAGCAGCAGTCGCAAAACTCCAGCCCTGGCTGTGGCGGTAGCCATGGCATTCCAGCCTGGAGGGCCATGACAGTTCAGGAAGCAGCCAGGCTAGACTGGAGCCCTAGCTGAGGGCAGCAGGGCAGCACAGATTATATTGGGAAGGACCTCCCCTTGTATGGCAAATCCCCTTGTGCGGGACCGGACAGGTCCTGAGGGTGCCGGGTGAGGGAGGTCCAGCCTGCATTACAGTTCAATATAATTCGAAGGAGAAAATGTCCAACATCCTTTTGCTAAGTCTGATCTTTTTTTCCCCTCATAATAGTTGTAAAGTACTTAGTGCAACTCAAATGGCACATGTTAAAGAGAGTACAGGCAGTCCCTGGGTTACGTACAAGATAGGCACTGTAGGTTTGTTCTTAAGTTGAATCTGTATGTAAGTCGGAACTGGCATCCAGATTCAGCCGCTGCTGAAACTGATCAATTTCAACTGCTAAGTCTGATCTTTTTTTCCCCTCATAATAGTTGTAAAGTACTTAGTGCAACTCAAATGGCACATGTTAAAGAGAGTACAGGCAGTCCCTGGGTTACGTACAAGATAGGCACTGTAGGTTTGTTCTTAAGTTGAATCTGTATGTAAGTCGGAACTGGCATCCAGATTCAGCCGCTGCTGAAACTGATCAATTTCAACAGCGGCTGAATCTGGACGCCAGTTCCGACTTACATACAGATTCAACTTAAACAACCCACGCAT